TTGTTGCTGAAGTTGCAGTCATTGTAAATGGTGTTGTTGAAGACTCAATTGTTGATGTAGTTGTGGTGGGAGTTGTTGATGAAGACTGACTTGTTGATGACACCGGTGTCGTTGTTACTGATGAGACTTGAGTAGTTGATGTAGTTGTGGCTGGAACTGTTGATGGAGACTGACTTGTTGATGAGACTGGTGTAGTCGTTATTGATGATATTTCAGTAGTTGATGAAGACTGACTTGTTGATGAGACTGGTGTAGTAGTTAGTGTAGTTCTGGCTGGAACTGTTGAAAAAGACTCACTTCTTGATGTGACAGGAATAGTTGATGAAGTTGTGTCTGTAGCCATTGATGAAGACTGACTTGTCGATAAGATTGGTGTAGTCGTTATTGATGAGACTGGAGTAGTTGATGTAGTTGTGGTTGGAGCTGTTGATGAGACTATGGTAGTTGTTATTGTTGTGGGAGTTGTTGTACGTAGTAGGAGGTGGGTTGTAGGTGTGGTTTGAGAGGATGTTGTGGCTGAAGTTGTAGTTATTGTAAATGGAGTTGTTGAAGACTCAACTAATGATGAGACTGGAGTAGTTGATGAAGTTGTGGCGGGAGCTGTTGATGAAGGCTGGCTTGATGATGAGACTGGAGTAGTTGACATAGTTGTGTCTGGAGCTGTTGATGAGGATTGACTTCTTGATGAGACTGGAGTAGTTGATGTAGTTGTGGCTGGAGTTGTTAATGATACTAAAATGGTTGTTGTTGTTGATGCAGTTGTGGCTGGAACTGTTAATGAAGATTGACTTGTTGACTGTTGTTGTAGGAGCTGTTGTAGTTGTTCGGGGGTGGGTTGTGGGTGTGGTTTGATAGAATGTTGTGGCTGAAGACTCATTTGTTGATGAGACTGCTGTAGTTGATGTAGTTGTTGCAGAGGATGTGGATGAGATTAAATCTGGAGCTGTTGATGAAGATAGACTTGTTGATGAGACTGGAGTTGTAGACATAGTTGCGTCTGGAGCTGTTGATGAAGAATGACTTGTTGATGATACTGATGTATTCATTCTTGATGAGACTTCAGTAGTTGATGTAGTTGTGGCCACAGTGGACGTTACTGGTATATACATAAAGAAATGTCTCATTAGATCATATTTGTGGATATTCTTATTAGATCACGTTTTCATAATGCATTGACTCTTACATGTGATGGTATGATATTTGTCTTCATATAATATTTTAACATTTTCAAATAAGTAATTACTTTTAATATTGTTTTTTGCAAACTGCAGCTAATGTTGTTGAATAATGAATTGGACTGAGTGGCGCGTGTTCCAGAGAATGCCTCCCCGAGTTAATCCTTGCTGTTTATGGTGGGTTGTAGGTAAAGAGCACGAAACCTGACCACTTGGCTACTTGCTACAACAACAAAAAAAATCCTAAATTTTATCTTGTCATGTTGACAAAACCTAAATATTTCTGAATTTTCTGAAAAATATCTCAATTGAAAATCCACAAAAATTGCCTATTTTGATCGAGTATAAGTATGTATTTTACTTTACTTTATTATTGTAATCTGCAACATGATCTGAATTTCCATGCGAATATCTGTAACGCATTTTTGTTTTGTAATTTATTGTTTTACATCATTATAGAGTTTTATGTAATATTATAATGTTATTTCAATAATATAATATTACATTATATTAATAATATATGTAATATTATATAATTAGTAGAACTAGTAGTATCATAGTAACAGTAGTATTAAAGTATATAATAAAGTATTTGCTGTGAGTTCCTACCGGACATTATTTCTTCTTATTTAAACCATATCTAAGCTTAATTTTCTATTATTTTTTGTTTGTTGTTGTTTGTTGTTGTTGTTTAATTTTCAAGTTTTGGTTCTTTCTGCTAAAGGTCTCTGAGTAAAGATAAAAGATGTGAATACTGGTGAGACAAATTATCATAAATTTTATTGGTAGAAACTTTAAAGTTTGTTATGTATTCTTTAGTTGTAGGTATTTTTATTTTTGTTTAAAAAATGTTTTCAGTTCAACATGTCACAGGAGAAGTTATTCATCCGACAGTGATATGTCATGTTATGGTTAGGCCATAGTCATAAACTGGGTTTTAGGAAATTATTATTGTTGCCATAGTTTTCACCACTTAGGGGCAGTGGTGGCTTAGTGGTTAAGGAAGCAGACTTGGGTTTGGAAAGCTCCTGGTTTGAGTCCTCTAGCTGCCAAGTTAGCACTGAGGTACCCTGAGCATGGCACCGTCCCCACACACTGCCCCCCGGGCGCTTATAAGCTTCCCACTGTTCACTTTGGTGATGGGTTAAAAGCAGAGGTCACATTTCGTTGTATGTGCTGTGTCACAATGACAAATAATTCACTTTCTTCTTCTTTCTTTCTTTTGTATTTTCGTTGTTGAGAGGGAGGGTAAGAATGTTGAAGGGCGGAATAATCAATGCCATGTCATTTTGGCAGCTTCTAATGCATTTACAAAAGGTTTACTGGAAGCACTTAGAAAATTGGCTCTTTGTCAGCTTGAATTTCTCAGTTGTAACCTTTAGTGTCAATGTGCAAAAAGTACATCAGAACAAGTGTGTTTTCACTAAGTCCTGGGCAAAATCAAGTGTCCAATGCCAATTTAAAAATATCTTGGGCTTTATTTAACACAACTAATTACAAAGTATTGTAGGAGGGAAACTTAAAGGGACAAGGGGGAAACGTCGCTGAACTTGTTGCAACTGAATTAATGTGCAATATATATATATATATTTGTAGTTGTTGGATGTAAAGTTGTAGTAAGTTGAGATATGTTGTTTTTTGTTGTAGTTGCAATTGCATTTCTTGATAATCTGGCTGGATTTGTTGTAGTTGAGTGAGCTGGGGTCCTCAGCAGAAACATTCAATTATCAACATGGTAAATTAACACTTTTCCAGTAACAATGGAGTGTGAAAGGAACCTGAGGCAGCACACTGGATAAATTAGGGTGTGTCTTTGTCCAAAAGCTTTGAGAGCTCACATAGCCATTAAACAAGGCTGATGCTGGAAAAAGAGAAACAAAACAATGTTCCAAATATATTTTGTTGCTTTTTTGCATCGCCCCATCTTCAGTATCAAGATAAGACTCTAGCTGAGTCTTATCTAGCTGACTCTCGAGTCTTATCTTGCAGTAGTTATATTATATTATAAATTAATCAGATGGTGACACCGCCTTAGTGAATAAGTAACACATTCAGCTGGAGGGACCGCAACCTCATCCTCTTCATCTAACTGTAATTATACGGGATGGACATTATTCATACAGTGTTGTGAAATCAGGATGACAAATGTTGCTAACACTTGTCCGTCTTGCAAATAGCCTCCATGTCTTCTTCATTAGATACAGCCACACTTCTGGCCTCAACACCATGTTATAAACACTCCAAATTGGTGAGCATGGATTTAATGTCAAATACATAAGTGGTCCCCAACCAAGGATCTTTACATGCAAGAACCTACAAGCTCTTGATTCCTATCCCTGGTGATTGTGGAGGACATAGTTCTAAGTTGTCTTGCTGTTGTCGCATGTACGAATTCTGTTGTACCTGATCTTGTGGTGGTCATTATTGTGGAAGGCAGATTTGTTGATGGTTCTGTTGATGGTTCTGTTGTTGTAATAGGAGAAACTGATTCCGTTGTAGTACTTGGAGTCGTTGTTGTCGTGAAAGTCAGATTGATTGTAGTTGTCACCAAGGTTGCATTTGATGTAAGTGGATTCATTGTTACAGGTACAGTTGTGGTCGCTGCAATTCATAAAATAAATGTTACTTCAATTCTTATCATAGGAATTAAAAAGGTTTTTTTTCAATACTTTAAAAAAAATTTAAATTGAAAAAATTGAAAAAAAGTAATTTGTCTGAATGAATCCATTGCCTCTGCAGTTAGCAGCTCTGTAAGAATGAATTCATCATCTGCTGTATTTGCTCTGATTTAAATTACAAATCATGAAATAAAAACAACTAAACAAATCAAGACATGATTAATATTGACCTTGTCCAGGAGTTGCATGAAAAAATCCAAGCCACATTATCCAACAAAGCATTCTTAATTCCATGTTTGTGTCGTGTTACTCCTCATTGCTCCTGGTACAAAGACCATTTATTTCCTATTGTGACAGCCTATTTGTAGACTGTGAAATGCTCCTCCTCCTGCTGTGAGGGAGGTGGCAAGGTACTAGAGAGAATGAAACAGAGGTAAAACTGTCTTTCAGAAGGGTCAAAAATCTACTGAAAAAAATCATTATACTGTAAAACCAAATTACTGTCTATAAAGTAAACAATTGAGCTAGTAAGGTTTAAAAATGTTATGTTTTGGTTTATATTTAACAGTTGGTATACATTAAATGAAGCTTTGTGTAAAATCACAAACTTAGAATGTTGTCAAACAGGAATTTATTATTGTAGCAGAGTTCTTATAATGATGCTCATCATCTATAAAGTGTTACATACATGTTCCCCAGCATCAATATGTAAGATATTTAATTAAGTAATTTTGGAATTGAGTGGCAGACATAAACAAAGCAATATTTTAATGAGGGCTGCCAAAATCCATAGGACAATCACATTTATTAATTTTTGAAATGTATATGATATTGGTGTCAATTTTTACGCATGTGCAGATTGACTCTGTATAAAATTATTCAACCAATCATCCAATTATCATTGCTAAAAAACAGACATTTTAAAGAGATTTTATATTGTGTAGTAGGATGTGCTTGTTTAACAAAAAGGTATAAAGTATTTCTTCAGGATAAAATAACAAATATATAAACAAGGGACTTGATTCTCGATTTAATGGTGTGACCAGCTAAACTACATCTGCTTATTTATATTCATAATTTTGTGTACATATTTAGTCCTGTCAAACATTTTAAAATCTGATTCAAATAGATTAATTATGGGATTCATCACAATAAATCGTGATCGACATTATTTACAATTAATCACGATTGACCATGGTCGTAATTAATTATAATTACTTATAATATACTAACAGTACAACAAGCACAATCACTGCATAAACTTAAATTCTTATAGAAAATACTTTGATTTTAAATGTAAAAAATGATTAAAAAAACAAATAAATAATTAAAAAATATAAATATAAACTGAAAATAATTACTAAGATAGGCGGAACATATTTTTCGGAAAGCTGAAGTGTAACACATACCGCATGCGCACTCGGTCTTTCGCATATGCAGTTGTGAATCGCTGTTTTGTAAAAATATACAGAATTTGTTTAGTCTTTTCAATTAAAGGAACGCAAGTGGAAGTAAAAGCTGTTATACTGCACGTGTTTATCGCAAAATATCTGACGTGGATTTTCTAAAGCTATAGTCTGAACGTAGTTTACACTGTATTTTTTGTTGGCTCATTAGCTTAGCAAGGTACGCTGATGTGACTAGTCCACAGTCCACAAACTCTTATTTTTTTGCATGCGCGGTTAATTATTTTTACATTTCCCGGCGTATATCTCGGACCGACTGTATCTACTAAGTTTAAATGTCCATTCTCGGTATATATAATTTAGACTAAATGCTTTATAAGGTTATCCCTCTTTGTGAGTGCAGATTTGCAGAAACGCAATGGACAGAGACTTGTTGAGGCAGTGTTTATTGTATCATGGTGAGTCCTTGTTCAACAAACTAAAATGCGAGCAAACAGAAAACCCAGACTTCCAAGCGTTGGCAAGCGATTTGTGCAAGATCACGAGCGAAAGGTAATAAAGAAACTTATGGGTCCACGTGTTGCATTGAGCTAATTGCATAGTAATACATAACAATATGTCCCGTCTCTTTACCTTGCACAACCTTGCATCATTAGTTTGTCAGGCTCATTGACATGAATTTTCTATGATTTAACATGAACAGCATTATTGTGCATAATCTATTCATTCATAAGCTACGAAATTATACTTTTCATTAAAACCCTCGTCTTCATTGTATCTGCATCTTTATTTTTTATGTAGCAGGGCTGAAGAGCCGAGTTGTCCTCTGGTGGAACAGTTCATAGCCAGAAAGGCAGACATCCTGTTTAATCCAGCATGGAAGACGGCTACATCTCAGCGGGAGGATCTCGAGGAGATGGAGGAGGCTGCAGGTAAGCATAGTCCATCACAGGTTTTACAAACCTGCACTAACCAGCAGCTCCATAACACTTTGCAAAAGGTTTTTTTTTTTAATTATTGCTACTCCAACTGTGCTGTGTTAAGTTTTTGGTTGAGTTTAACCCACCTCAACTCGGTAATGTGTCAATTTCTTCTCATGTATGTCATTTTTATTTTTTAATGCAATTTTGTCAAAACTCCCAAAATAATTTCATGTCATGTTTGTTTACAAATATGATGTTGAGTCATTTTGACATATTGTGTAAATTGACTCAAAACAGTAAAAAACAGAAACAGGTTAAGTAATTGTTTGTGAAGAAAATCTTTAACTAAACATCATAAATATAGTGTTAATTAAAATGTATTTGTTTGTAAATTTGACAATAAAGTTGTCATTTGTGAAACCTGTTTTATTTTTTTATTTTTTTTACTGTTTTGAGTGGATCTACACAGTACGTCAAATTGACCTGTCATTTTTACGTACCCGTGTCATTTTTTTCCTCAACATAATGTTTTCCACAGAACCTTACGCCATCATGCCACCGCTGGAATTATTCATGGAGGTGCCGTATGAAGAGAAAAGATCGATGGTGTACAGGGACTTGGAGAGAGGAGACATTGTGGTTGGCAGGATTAACAACATAAGAGAATATGGCTTTTTTCTCACTTTGCTGTGCATGGCAGGAGAACTGAAGAGGGACATGGAGGACTTAGATTTGTCAGTAAGTCAGAAGACTCGTTTAAATGATTGTGTCTGACACTTATAGGTAAGCCAACATCATAATTGGTTTTGTCATTTGGCCAGCATTTGTATAAAAGAACAATAATGTGGTCCTGCCACTTCTGTTTACACCTGGTAAGAGGTTATTTAAAGAATGTGACTGTTGATTGGTCGGGCTGTTGCTCTTTGTGCAACAATAATACTGACCCAAATACTAAAACAAATGGTACTTGATGCTTTAAAACTTTGTATAAACAACAGCAGAAAAACCCATAACATTTTAATTTATTTCGTTTTTTTTATTTTTTTTATTTTGATGTATTACATGTTTTATATTCATAGTCATATCTTCATAATTTTGATCTGGCCATCGTTAATTGAACAGAGGTGACTTTTTGATTTCAGGCCTTATGTCACATCAAAGAAATACCCTCAACTGGCAGCCATGATGATCCTCTGTCCTACTACCAGACTGGGGATTTCATCAGAGGTTAGTGTCCTCTGTCTGTCCTCGGTCTCCAACAAACAGCTGGTTGTAGTAAGGTCATGGTTACAGTGTCTACCTTAACATTTGAATCTACGTAAAGAAAAGTGTCAATTTCCATCAGATGAAAAGTGAATAAAATGTAGCACTACGACATGAACCCTCTATTAGTTTGGATCCATGCCCTCCTGTCTCTGTGACTCATACATGCTGTTAAACAAACAGTACTTTGTGTTTTATTTTCTGTTCTGTAGCTGTGGTGAAAGATATCGACCGCTACCAAGAAAAAATCACAGTGTCACTCCTGCCAGCCTCTCTTTCTCCCAACTTAGAGGGCATCAAACTGGGAGTCATTACCCAGGAGGAGCTGCCCATTCACTACAGGTAAAACCACAACAACAAATACTGACACATAATGAACCAAACAAGCTCTATGTAAACTGAATCAAAATATCTCTTCAATGACAAATACTGAGTTCTCATTCATTTTAAATATGTTGTTAAATAACTTGTGCACAGAAAATCAACATCACAAATGAGAACTGGTTTTCAAACAATTACCTGTTAAAATGTTACATAAAGTTAAAAAAGAAATTTCCCAGTTTCATCAATACAATTAAACTTTAACCTTAAAAAGGACATATACAGTCACATGGAAATGAGCAACTTTAATGACTTATTCTGATGCTGTGTTTAACCACTGGGACATGAAGCCTGTGTTTTGTTTTCCACATTCATTCTTCTCAGCCGTGCCCTTCGTGCTTCCAGTGACTTCAATCAGACATATGGTTCTATTCTAAGGAGCTGCCATGGTTACCACAACCCCTGTGTGGTGGACTACCTACTGCAAAAGGTCCGAATTAGTGACACCCACCCACCATCTATGATGAGAGGACTACAGAGGTAAAACTGTGATTGAAAATGTGATTTAAAATTTCAGGCCAGGTAGAGAAGATTTTTAATTGCATCTATTTTGTGGTGATTTCTTATTCTCAAGAATGAATTACTGAAATATAAAAAAAAAAATCACTGCATTCTCACTTGTAAGTTTTCTCCACAGTAAACTTTTCAAAGAGGAGGATTTTGCCTCTTCAATCAGGAAGAAACAGTCTGCGTCATGGGCCCTGAAGTGGTAAAGTGGATTTTTTTTTAATTATTATTTTTTTGATCTTGATGTATTTAGTCTTTTTTTTCCATTATTTTGACCTTGTCATTTCAGTGTGAAGGCAGGTGTCGACCACTTCAAACATGGTCGTCACGTGGAGGCCATGAACGAGTACAACAAAGCCTTAGAGATAGACACAAATAATGTGGAGGCGCTCGTAGCACGTGGAGCTCTGTGAGTTGACTCTCTTTATCTGCCTAAAAGCTATGGAATTGAGCTACTGCTGTAGAGGGATTTTCTGAGTCAACATTGCATTATATCATGAGTGATATTCTTACTCTGGGTTGTTCGCGTCATTGAACAGGTATGCAAACAAAGGCAGCATCTTGAAGGCTATAACCGATTTTGAACAGGCTCTGGAAAGCTGTCCCGATCATCGTAACGCTAAGAAGTATCTCTGCCAGACACTAGTGGAGAGAGGCAAACAGTGAGTAGGAACTAACAGAGATTGCGTTACCTATTTGTGGAGACATGCATTTTCATATAAGCAGTCAACACCATTCACATCCAGACGAGGTGAAAGTTATAAAGAGCATTAATTGTTTTATTTTTTTGTTGTTGTTGTTATCGATTGTTAGGTTGATGCCACTTCATTTCTCCGAAGAAACGTTAATTATTCTTTTAAAATAAAAATAATAACTTGATTTAAATCTTAATAACAATTAAATAACCGCTGATGACTTATTAGTATCTGATCAATTTAAACAGATGTCATTTTTTATTTGTCCCTTCTTGCTGCCCAATTACAAAATAACATCAATATATTCAACATGAAGCAGTTTTGATATCGGTTGTTCTTCAGGCAATAACTTTTAAGTTTTAAATCTTTTCACACACACTGTTCAACATTTTAGAAACCACTTCATTCAGTTTAAAACTGGTTTGACATAACTATGCGAGTGGTGTCATCATATGAGGCGAGATGAGAATGTCAAACTATTAGAGTAATATGAACCACTTGTGGAAATTCACATGAGCTGTTCTTTGTATTCTAAACCTTCCAATGAACCGTTTGTAGTCGTCTCACCTTTGTTGCACATTGGCCGTCGTGTTGTCTCCTTGTCTTTCTATTTAAGCCGTTTATGCATGAATCACTCTCATTACACAGTTCCTGACATTTACCAGGAAATGTGAGCTGTCAAGAAATTACGATCACAACTTAAAACTAGCAAACAATACCTTTTAAGAGAGCGTGGAAAAAGTTGATATTGAAGAACCCTGGTCTTAAAGCTGTTTCAATGAGTTGTTTGGCAAATATAAACCCCACAAATGAAGGTTGGGATTCGTGATAGCAATGAAATTAATTTGGCTTTATGTCACTATTTAAAATTGTGTGTGCGTGCGTGTCTGGCAGGCTGGAAGAACAGGAAAAGCTTGTAACAGCAGAAGGATTGTACAGGAGAGCTTTGTCTCTGGATGACAAAAATCTTGACGCCCAAGATGCCCTGCGCAAGATTACGGATACAATACAGGTGAGTGTAAACAAAATATATCTGTCAATATAATCTTATTTTGTATTATATAACGACATTATGTATAATTTATTGTTTTATATAGATCAGTGGTTCTCAAACTGTTCTCTAGTGGTGTGTGGGAAAAATTCATATTTTCACATTTACATTTTCAATTGAATAAATCTGAAACATACCATGCACAATAAATACAACATTTAAACATAAACATCTTTATAAACATTTATAAACATCTCTCCTGTGTGGTGGATGCTAATAGGGAAGGCCTGTGCTGCTATATTCTAATGTTGGTCATCATGGTGGTACTCAGAGAGCTGTGTTTTCTCAGGTGGCACACAGTTTGAGAACCATTGATATAGATTATATATAAATTTATATATCTATGTATATGTGTATATTATATATATACACAAATAATATATGTATAGTTACACATATACTATATATGTATGTATATGTATTGATTGGCTAGCCATATCATTAAATTGTGAATACCTGTCCGCTAAATATACAGTATATTAGTTATTTTATTTTGGTGGAAGAATTACTTTGTACCTTTCTGTCAAACAAATTCGTCCTATTAAACAATGTTAAAAGCACTGCATATGTGTTTGAATTAATTTTGTTGTTCATTGACGGGTAATAGAACTGTCTTTGGTGCTGAAGGGCATTTTAGAAGCATTTTTTACACTTTTTTTTTTTTTTTTTTAACTGTGACCAACATTTTTTCATGTAGTTTGTAGACACCTGTATGTGATTTGTAACACTGACCAAGCGTCTCGGTGTGTGTTTGTGTCTGCAACCCTGGAACTCTGCTCCTGACCCTCGACTGCAACCACTTGTCTCCTGTCCTGTGGGGATTTAAACCAAAAAAACTGGACACTGACAACAACTCCTGGACACTGTGTGTGGTGCCATGTCTCTGGTCTGACCTGGTAACTTTCTCAAATATTTGTTTTTACTCTGGCTGCACCTCTGTCCATCCATCTGCTCATTCACCAATGGCCCGGTCCTTGGACCTCACCACTATATCTGTGGTGACTTGTGTATAATCCCCTGTTGTTTCTGTGGGATTTTGAAACCTGTTTATCTCCTATTCCTTTATGCCCTCCCGCTGCAACTTGAATGAATGATTAAATGCCATTTCTGGGGGGGGTGGGGGGCTTGTTGCATGATTTGGGTCATGCTTTTTGTGTGTAAATGTCCCCGTGGGCTTCTGCGTGCAACTGTCATGCCTTGCCTTGCTTTACTTGAAAATAATGAAGAAATCCATTCGCCTGCGAGAAGAAGCGCTGGCTAAGGAGCAGGAAAATGTCAAGACCAGCGAAAGCAGCGCTCAGAAATTGCGTAAGATATTAAAAGAAGAAAAAAGGTAAGTTCTTGTTTTAACATTTACACTTCTTGTATCATTGTTAGACAGGTTCAGTGTCTAAAACGTCAATCATGTATTAACTAAGATACATTTTAATTGTATGTACTGGGTTTTATGCCGGTGAAGGAAACGTGAATCATCTCTGCAGTTTTTTTCAGCAGAATAATTTGTGAACATCTCTTTTCAGAATGAAGAAAAAAAAGAAGAGATCGGCATCCTCCTCGTCTTCCTCCTCCACGTCTTCCAGAGACTCTTCCTCTTCCTCCTCCTCATCCTCCAGAAGGAGGTCCAAAAAGAAGAAGAAGAAGCATAAGAAGTCTCAGCGAGGAGGTAAACACCGCCGTAGACTCTCCTCCAGAGACAGCAAGAGGAGCGAGGAGGGTAAGAGGGAGAAGAATGGGAGAAAGCAGAAGGATGAGGAGGAGGTGGAATGGTATCCTGCTCCTCAAAACACCTCAGCCACCTTTCTTTACCAGAAGGGAGGGCCCAGGTTTGGAGACGATGACAACGGTGATGATGTTCAGGAGCATTACAATGACGAAGGAAAGATCTCCCAGCTCTATTCTCTGGCAGCAGCCTCCGAACATGAGGACTCCGACTCCTCACGTTGGGAAAGGAAGAGAAGGGAGAGCAAGAGCAGCAGAAGGAGAAGCACCCACAGCAAGAGTCCTAAAATGGAGGATAGAAGGAGGAGTCAGAGTAAGGAAAGAAGGGCTAAAGAAGGAGAAAGAGGTAAGGAAGAAAACAGGAGGAACAGTGACTCTAAACGAAGAAACAGCTTTGAGGAGTACAGAAAGAGGAAGGTTTCCTGCTCCTCCATAGACTCTACTGAATATTCACGAAAATCAAGTTCCCAGTCGGAATATTCAGGATACTCTGCATCCAAACACCTGGAGAAAAGGGAAAGATACAACCCAGGAAAGAGGAATTCTTTTGACGGTGGTAGGTATGAGAAAGAGGAATGGAACAAGATGCAGGACATAAGTAGAGGAAAGCAAAGCAGAAAGGACCAGGGAGATGATGATGATGATGACGACGATGGTGGCAGTAGATCAGCTGGAGGAATAAGTAAAAGCTCACAGAACACTGGAAGTCAGCATGCAGCTGCAGCCAAAAAAGACCTGCCTACCAATCTGCTGGATATTTTCCATAAGATTGCAGAGTTTGAGAAGGAGAAAGGAGTCGGGCTGAAAAAATGAACGCCAAAAGGAACACTCAACAGGAAGTGCCAAATGTTTAAATGAGTAAAAGAACAGACAGTCAGAATATTCCTTTTGGACTGTATTTCAGGCTGTTGTCATTTCTGCAAAACAATACTGACAGTAATAAAAATCAATTGAAACTGCTGATGAATCTAGACATTTATTTTCCTGATGCAGATTTTTATTTTTCGAAAACTAAATCACACCTGAAAATGTTGATTAATAAATACAAGGTTAAGTGGGGTTCTTTTTATTGTCTGACAGAAACCTAATTTTTTGTTTTTGTTTTTTGTTGTTTTGGTCGGGCTCTATATTTTGACCTGTCAGCATGTTGGCTTGACTTTTAGATACAAGCGTTGCTACGAGCATTATTATCAGTCGTTGACTTAAAGCTGCGAGATTCCATACTGTATTTCAATATTCAGCTGTGTCTTCCACTCTGTCCTTCTGTCCTGGTGTCTGTGTCTGTGTGTGTTGTGAAGGTACAGGGCTCAGTTCAGCTGCCTGTTCCTGAATGTGCACAGTCAATGTCAGCTGTGAAATTACTTCACATTCACCCATGACCCATAGTGCCTCCACGGTAATGGCTGTATATTACAGTGGAGGTATCTTGGTGGTGTAACTGCACATAAAAGGTTGACAATAAAGGACTTTAAAATTCCTGTAATATCTGAAATCTGATTTTTTTTTTTTTTACGCCAGAAATTTAGCTTTTAGAGGACGGGTGTCAAACTCATTTTCACCAGGGGGCCACATCAATAAAGCACTGCCCCCTTGAAGGGCTGGTTTTTGGTATTCAAGTTACAAATATTGTATATTGCTGTGTAATAAAAACAAATCTTTAAAATGTATCAGGTTAAGAAATTCAGCAGCATTATAAGGGAGATGCTTATGAAGCTCCCGCGGGCCACACAAAAAGGATTGGCATTTGGGCCACGGGCCGTGAGTTTGACTTTTCTATAGTAATCCAACACATTATGTGTGGATAAGTCAGAGAGAGAGACCTGCTGCTGTCCACACTGTGTCTTACTGCTAACAACTCAATCTTGATCAATAATAAATGCAGGAGTGTCCCCAGCCTCTCAGCTGACCTCAGTCTTTCAGTCTCTGACCATCATTAGATCAATAACAAAGCTCTCTGGGAATTTTCTGTCCTCGCCAAGATGCATCACTGAGCACATGGATTATCCTGCTGCTGTTTTGCATGGGTTCCAGTTAGTTTTTCAATTAGAGCGGTCAGTGTTTAATCCAGTCCTTTAACAAAAGTACCTTCATCCATAGCTGCATAAAGATTGTTTAACCCTGCACGAGTTACACGAGAAACGTATTTAATAAACCCAGTCAGGTTTACTTTAATCCAGTTATAAATGTGGATTCAGAAATCCACCAACATACAGTGTTTGAAGTTGATATTTTCCCTTACACCAGAAAAGAATGTTTGTATGAATCAAACTAATTTTTTTAAATGTTTTGTCATAATAGTTCTGAATGAAGACGTGATTTATTTTTCACTGTGACACAGCACATCACTGCACACAATGAAACGTGACCTCTGCTTTAAACCCAACACCTTAGTGAGCAGTGGGCAGCTCAAGCACCCGGGGAGTGGGAACGGTGCCTTGCTCATTACACCTCAGTGGAACCTTAGGTGCTAGTGGATTTGAACCTGCAACCTTCCAGACCCAGGGCTACTTCCTTAGCTACTACTACCACCCTAATATGGTGGAAGAGTGGCCGGTCACTTACCTTACATCACCAGTAAAAACACACAGATTGGGGAAAAGATCATTGTTCACTCTAAATTTTATCAAAATCCCTCATCTCTTCTTTTTGATGACCACCTCTAGAATAAGCCTGGAGTAATAAAAATTTAATATAAAGAAATAAATAAGGACAATAAAAATAAATCAAATAGTCACAGAACCGTATCTGTCCACTGGGGGGCAGTGGATCACTGTAGTTGTAAACCTAGGAGTAGAGGGAAGAGTAGAACAACGGGTTGTGCTGCCGGTTTTCTATGTACTGTCTATATGTATATGTGTGTGTGTGATTTGTATAATGTAATCTTAACAACGTGTTTGAATTAAACCTGTCGCGTCTCAGTCCTCTGCTCAACTGTACTGTTAGAAACCATTTTATTATACACAACTTTAAATAACTGATGTAAATATTTACATAATACATTTGTTAAGTTTGTATTAAATGATTCACTGGCCATTTTAGTAGTAAAAGCCTTATAAATACAAAATTAAAAGAAAAATGTAAAAGAAAATGCATCTTTAATAACATCTTTATTGTGGAATCTTTAAATCCCAGACTAGTGAAGTTATGTCAAGTTCTTCACTCACTGCAGCATTAATAATTTTTATTTTATTTTATGTATGTTATTATAAAAGCACAGCTATTGTAAAATCAACACGCTCTTAAATTTAATTTGTTTTAAATTTAATTTAAAAAAAAGAAATTAGGCAAAATTCAAGGAAGAAAGTCAAAACACAAAAATCCCAGTGTTTCCTTGATCACAAGGCTTTGGTCACACGTTGTTGTTTGTCTGCGTCGTCTTTTCTGGGTGGATATCGTGGTGGCAGCAGTTCCAGCAGGGAAGCCATTTTCCATTGTCCGTGAGGCTTGGACAGGTTCAACCCTGAAGGGACATGAGTCTGTTCACCTCAACGAGGCCCTGGTGGTCAGAGCTGGTTGTGGGACATCAAAACATATTTGCTAATATTTTATGTTTTATTCTCTTTTGTACAGCATAACACTTCTAAAGTACAGTGGACTTTAGAAGTGTTATACTGCACAGAAGAGCGAGATGGAGAAGAAACCCAACTCCCTCCACACGCTCGTGTCCTTTCCTGAACACCAGGAGGTCTACACTTCTCAGGGAGGTCAAGTCCAAAACCTGCGTTAAGCTGAGAGCAGAAAAGTGGCAGAGAAATAAGAGGAATAACAAAAAGGAAAGAAAGAATTACAGATATTGGAGGTGAGGCAGTGGGAACCCCGCAGGGGGAAAAAAAGAAGACCTTTAAGTCCTTGAAGTTGTGGGTCTTGTCACTTTTTAGGAAGGTCAGCACCAGCTGTCCTGCTTGAGCGACTCTGATGAAGCTGCAGAATCTTGCCTTCATGAATCATCCCACTTCATTTTCGTCGCCCTCCTCCTCCTCCTCCTCCTCCTCCTCGTCCCAGCATCCACCTGGTCTCTTTTTCACAAAGCGAGGGGATTCCTTCTTTAAGGCCTTTTTCTTCAGCTCTGAGGCAATCAGACTGTTGAACATGCAGACGGAGATGAGACTTTTTAAATTAGTGTTACAGAGAGAGAGAGAAAGAGACACAGAGGGAGGGGGAGAGGGGGAGAGGGGGGAGAAATGACATTTTTCATTTTCTACAATAAAAGGTACTACATTGAATTCTCAGAGCTTGACAATACAGAGGAGTAAGTGATGGAATAGGAGTGCACGTGGAGCCGTGTGTGTTAGTGGATAATGAGGAATTTAAGAACGTTCCGTCTCCTGCTGCCTTTCAGTCCCGGTCCAAACCTGTCTCTGCACAACGTGAAGACTAATGTTCTCCATCCTCCAGCGCTAGTCCTGAGCAGTCTGTAGCATCTTATCTGGAAAGGTGCACAGTATTTCTACATGACTCAGTAACTCAGGGGGTCAAGTGTCTGGTCCAGGTCGTGTCCTTGAGCTCAAGCCCAGGAACCAGAATCATAAACAGAAACCTGTGATGTGGTGAGACCTTTGGTATGAAGTTTAATCCATAAGGCTGTGACGGAGGACCAGTAGTTTGAGATCTTTACCAGAAAAAATTGAAATATTGAACTGGATTAAACTGGACGACGTTGACAATGTTATAAATTTATTTATTTATTTTTTATTATTACTGTTTCATTGTATCATTGTTATTTTTACTCCACTGGTTTGCAGTCATTTGAATAGACATTTCACTGTCGCTGTGTCAAACTCAAGGCCCGTGGGCCAAATGTGGCCAGTCACATAATCTTTAGTGACCCAACAGAGCTTATTATGTGTATGGTTGTCTTAAAACAAATGTCTATCTTTTGTTTGCAGTACGCAGTGGTTGAATACTGTGCAGGACCAGGAATGAGTTCCAATTCTAACCAATCATTTATTTACGTTAGTTTACCAAAAACACGTTCGCCACAAACCCTGGTACCGATACCAGTGATAATATGTGCGAAGACCACATAAGTTCTAAACACCAGTATGTCATTCACAGAACATAAAAACATTGTCCAAAAGCCAGAGGGCCCATTCACACCACACACTCAGCCCCTCCCACCCCGACCCTCCGGCCCCTGTCTTACATCTCTCAACAGCATTTGACCTAAAGGCTGCCCTGAGGGTGCGTGAACCGGAGACTGAGGCTTATTTATTAGCGACTTAACGTCCCTCTGGGGAGTTTTTCTTCCCCTTTAGCGAGATGTCATTCGAGAGTGGTCACAGCAGGAAGTAACAAGAGCAAATGGAGACGAGTCATTGTTTAGCAGCATGTTACGTCTCACACCCTGGTGGCATAAAGTGTTATTACATTAATTTTGTTCCATAGTGGACAGATAATATCTTAACCATAAAATACTGCCGTTCAGAGGAAAAGTTTTGGCAGCTTTGAGTTCTCCGTTTAATTTATTTTCCTTCTCACTAATGAGTTCTGCTTTGGTTGGTTGTGGATTTTATTTTCCTCAGTGTTTGAATCAAAGCGATGAAGAGGCAGAAGTTCAGATAGAGAGAGGCTTTTAGAACATCCTTCAACTTGCCTGAATAAAAAAAAAGAACGTGTTCACAGCCAAAGTGAGGGATGAAAAGAATGTGTTGATTTGCTAATGGAGCCGAGGTGGCAGCACACGGCGTCCTGTGTTCAAAACACTCCAGCTCTGACCTCCTTCTATTTGGTACATCGGGCCGCTGTTCTCTCCCGACTTTCACCCTTTTCTTCCCCCTTCCCTCAAATATTTATGTCGTGGCATATTTGAATATTCCATTCGTCGTTTTTGACGGATGTTTTCTAAGTCACCGGCTCTAAGTCCCCTCCTCAGCTCTTCTGAAGACGCTCGGACAAGCACATTGAGAAAAGAACATTTCCCATCCAATGACAAAATTACGCCAGGATACAAAACAAGCCTGCACACACACACACACACATTCTCATACATACACAAGCCTGTACACATTCACACACACATTCACACACACACACAAATTGATGTTCTCAAAAAGCTTGCAAATTCCATTACACTATAAAGCTCGTCTGCCCCAAAAAGATTTGGATTAATTTAGTAAACACAGGGTCGGAGCTGCTACAGAAGCTGAGGAGGAGGAGGAGGAGGAGGAGGAAGAGGAGGAGGTGAAGCCTCAATCCGTATATACATATGTGCATGTATGTGTGTGTGTGAGAGAGAGAGAAGTGCTGACTGTGTGAAGCAG